CCTGTGTGCTATTTTCTTGAAAACAATGATCAGTATGAGTGGACCCAGCTCACCCTGGGTGGTTCCATCCCTAGGCAGGTGGGCCTGGGCTGTATAAGAATGATTGCTGTGCAATCTAAAGAGAGCAAGGCAATAAACAATGTTCCTCCATGGTCTCTGCTTCATTCCTGCCTTGAGATTCTGCCCGGGCTTCATTCAGTGATGGCTCTAGCCTGTAAACCAGATAAACCCTTCTTCCTCAAGTTTCTTTTGATCATGGTAACTAGAGTAAAAGAATAACTAGAATGTTATTCCAGTTATCTTGCTTAGAGTTTTTGAAGTGTATTGTCTTGCCAGTACAGAATGCTTATTCCTGCTATGGTTTCTGCACAAAGCTTTTATTTCAGCCTTGGTCTGTTGGGTCACCATTTAAACCAGTATGGGATCCGAATCTGAGAGCGATGTTTTTGCTCTCACCATGGGCTCTAGGCTGACTCCTCGTGTTCTTCCCTCATTGGTCACATTACCTGATAATCATGGCTCCTTGGTGTTCTAGCTACTCCAGTTGGCACAGGCTTATTGTTCTGAACTATGCCAAGCAACAAGCATGATGTTTCACATGTGCTCTGATGAGCAAGGTTGATGGGACCATCATCTTCCTTAACTGAGATGTCGGGATGTTTGACTATGAGATCACTGAAATATGTGACTATGCACAATGGCTGACCACATGCCGCTGCCTTCGTTTGCTTGACTTTGTGCCCATGATAATGAATAAATTTCAAAATTGGTTTATCTGAAAAATAGAACAAAGTCAGCCTCCTTTCAGAGGTGGCATATGAATACAGAATAATCACCGAGGAGCTCCAGGATGTAGTCTGTTTGCATGTGGCACCAAATGAGAACCAGTACAGGCAAGGCCTGGCTGGCGGTTTCCAAGATTTACCTCACAAGATTTTTGTGAGGACTAATTACCTTAAAATATCCTCCCACACAGTGCACAGGAAGCACTTAAGATGCACACCACATGCTCAATGCATATTAATGATTAAAACAACAATCTTTGGGATCGGAGAGACAGATTAGCAGTTAAGCGGACTGACTGCTCTTCCACAGGACTCAGGTTCGATTCCCAGCACCTACATGGAGGCTCACAACCATCTGCAGGTTCACTCCCAGGGGATCTGACATTGACTTCTGGTCTCTCTGGACACCAGGCACACAGCAAGCAGAACACCACTCATACACATCAAATAAATAGTATTCAACACCATTAAAATATCAACCTTCATTGTTATTATTATTGTTTATTCCAGGACTTGCAGGAAATGCTCATTTTTGAGCAGGAAAGGTTGGTGGTTTCTTTTCATTTATACATTATCAACTAATATATCTAATTTGGACCTGAAACAGTGAAGCTATATCTTTAAAAAAAATTCCCAGCTATACATTTTCCCCAGTGTCTTGACAAATTAGAACAAGGAGAAGGAAGTTCTCATATTAATTCTTCCTCTGTCAAGAGTGACAGTTAACATATAGTGTTTATTTTTCATGTGTTCAATGTGAAAAATATTTGAATTAGTCAGGCACATCTTTAATCCCAGCACTCAGGAGGCAGATACAGGTGGATCGCTGTTGTTCAAGACCATCCAGGTCTACACAATGAGTCCCCGGACAGCCAGTGCTATATGGGGAGACCCTACCTCAAAACAAAACAAAAAAAATTGCATTAAAAATTTACTAAAATATTAATCCCTAATTCTTTCCATGTAAGTCTAAAACTTAATATCCAACTCACTATCTAATTTTGGAGAGATAAGTTTGTAAGAAATATAGAGGCTTGAGTTTATCTTTGGCCTTTGAAATAGTTCTTTTTGCCAATAACATTTGGTCAGAACAGAATGGCCTTTTTCTGGGTAAGACTCTAAGTCAAAGGCTCAAAGAATGCACAGCAGAAAAATTGAACCACCTGCTCCCCTGGGGTCTTTAATTTAGCTAGTGAGAGTCACAGGTGGGTAAACCTTTGGGAGAAGATTATTTGAAACTATTTAAAATTTCATATTTAGAAAGAGAAATGTGTTTGTGAAAAATCCAAAGCTAAGAACACTCACAAACTTGGGTCAGTTCCTAATACAACAGCTCAGCAGCCATGAGAATTTGACTGAGCTACCCTGGGGACCTGGGACCACACTGTGGGTCTTGAGTAGATCAGCATTCTGTAGCATCTCCCAACTAGAAGTTTATTTAGATGACAAAGTTATAAGTTATCTAGTGAAGTGTGTGTGTGTGTGTACTGGGGGGCAGTATGTGTGTGAGTGTTTGTCTGCACATGTACCACATATGTTTCTGATATTTGCAGAAGACAGAAGAGAGTTCTATACCCTCCAGAATTGGAGTTAGGGTCGGTTGTGAGCTGCCATATGGTTGCAAGGAACCCAATTTAGGTCCTCTTCAAGAGCAGCCAATGCTCTTAATGGCTGAGCCATCTCTCTGGCTCCTAGGAAATGTCTTTTATTATTATTGTTAATAAAAATAATCTCAAATGCTTCCAAAGTTAGCTGAAAGGCTGTGGAGATCTCAAGCAAAGTGTAAACATGATGAGGTGAGCTGGGATCTCAAGTACTATGGAAAAGCCAGGTGCTGTTATGCACACTGTGATCATAGCACTGGGGATGTGGAAACAGGATGGTCGCTGGGTTAGCACTGGGGAGGTGGAGACAGGATGGTCCCTGACTTTGCTTGCCAGCCAAGTTAGATGAATCAATACACTCTAGGTCCACTGAGAAACATTTACTAGAAAAGTAAAATGGAGAGTGACTGGGTGTACTGGACATTGACCTCAGGCCTCCCTAGGCATATGCACACCCATGCACACACCCATGTACACATGTGTGCACACATCATAACATGAATACACTCACACACACAGTTGTCTGATGAGTAAAAATTGTACATACATGACAAGGACCATGTACTATTTCAATAAATGGTGCAATATTCACATCAGGGCAAGCATCTCAGTCTTATCATAGACTGATCATTTCTCTGTACTGATGATCTTTTATGAAAGCTTTTTCTTAAATACACACTTGGTTATCATTATCTTGTCACTACACTATGCAGCATAACACAGGAGTTTATTTCTCCTGTGTGCCTGAAAACGCAGCTTGGCCAAGTTTACTCTAAGCGTCTCTCACTTTCACTCCATCTGGCTTCGTGGAATAGCCATTCTGCTCTCGGTGTCTGTATAGCTATTTCATTCATTCATTCATTCATTCATTTTGTTTATTTTTTTTGTTTTTACATCCTAACTCCCAGTCCTTCCCCACCACCTCCTCATGTGGTTTTTTTTATATTGCACATGAGTATCTGTTCATCTAACATACCGTCTTCCAGCTCCACCCAATTCTTTGCAAATGACAGAATATCACTTCTTTTTTATGGCTGGATAGTAGTCTGTGGTGTATATGTACCACATTTTCTTTCTTCATCAGTTTACAGACACTTGCATTGGCCCTCTTTCTTGGGGTACCGTGGACAATATTGTAATAGTGACATGGTGAGATGAGTGTCTCGTCAACATATTGACTTGGTTTTCTTTGAACATCTAGCCAGGAATGGAATTGCGAGGTAAAATAATAGTTCTATTCTTTTTCTTTTTTTAAAGAGTTATTTATACTATGTATTTGGATGCTTTGCCTGCATTTATGTCTGTACCTCACATACATGCCTGGTGCCCATGGAGGTCAAAAGAGGGTATTGGGTCCCCTAAAACTGGAGTTACAGACAACTATGATCCACAGTGTAGGTCTTGGAGCCAAACCCTGGTCCTCTGCAAGAGCAGTAAGTGTTCTCAGCTCCTGAGCCATCTCTCCAGCCCTTTAACGTTTTGAAAAGGAAACTCTCTACTATTTTTATAGCTACAGGGCTAGCTTGCCACTAGGCACAGGCATCCTAGCCCTGAGTTTCCCCGCATTCTCATCACTGTTTCTCGTCCTTTGTCCATTGGAATTGTTGTCATTCTAACTGGAGTGAGGTGGCCTCTCACAGATTCGATTTGTGTTTGTCTCACTCTTAGTGGTGCTGAACATTTCTGATACACTTGTTGACCATTATGTCTTCATTTGAGAAGTATCTCCCCGGGTTGACTGGTCATTTCTAATTGCATTGCTGTTGCTTTGCTCTTTGAACTTACATTTGTGCCAATGATTGTTAAATCAATGTTTCTCTTGGGATTCAGACATTAGGTCTTTACTCCATCATGGTGCTCCACTCCTTCGTTACTAAAAACACCATCAGTTTGCTGTTAAAGAGTGTCTATAAAAGATGTAGTGTTTGACATTAAGTCATAGTTTGTGAGTAGTTATTATATTTATTTTATAATAAATATATTATTTATTATAAAATTATTTTTATTATTATTATAAAATTATTATATATTTGCTAAATTATAAATTATATAAAAATTTTATAATACTTGCTATACACACATATATATATACATACATGCACATATATACATACAAGCATGCACACATATACACACATGCACATACATAGACACATGTACACATTTGCATACATACATATGCATTCAGATACACACACATAGATAAACATGCACAGATACATACACATATGACATACACATATACACAAGCATATACATACATGCACACACAGAGACAACCTCAAGTACTGGTATTACCTCAAGTACTACTACTGACTGATAAAATCCCATCATTACATTTTCAGGAGTTTGCACACCTCTTAACACATAGGTGGCTTGAAATTTGTTACATTGACATTATCTACCCCATGAATGTCACCAAATGCCACAAGTCAGTGCTGTTGGCCTTTTCGTTTGGAGTGACAGTTACTAAACACTTCCTAGTTGGCGTGTGCTCTCAATATTTATTTTAATAAAAGAAAGGGCTATTATCTTTGAAGACGGTGTTCGTACTGGAGTCCACAGGAGAAAAAGGTCACCAAATGTGTTCTCCATCCTCCTGCCTTTTCAGGGATACGGAAGGACCGTCGAGGAGGGAGAATGCTGAAGCACAAACGCCAGAGAGATGACTTGGAAGGCAGGAGTGAAATGGGGCCTTCGGGAGACATGCGGGCCGCCAACCTTTGGCCGAGCCCCCTCGTCATCAAGCACACTAAGAAGAACAGCCCCGCCTTGTCCTTGACAGCTGACCAGATGGTCAGTGCCTTGCTGGATGCCGAACCGCCCTTGATCTATTCGGAGTATGATCCTTCTAGACCTTTCAGCGAAGCTTCAATGATGGGCCTACTCACCAACCTGGCAGACCGGGAGCTGGTTCACATGATCAACTGGGCGAAGAGGGTGCCAGGTAAGAAGGCAAATCTCAACTTCGACTGTAAGCGCGATTAACTTTTCAAGAATTGGCTGTGATACTGTGGGGGAAAAATGACAGCGTGCTACATGATGAGTGTCAATGCTACATTGGTCTTTGTCCCTTGTCAATATTAACCCACTATATTTCCCTTGAAACTTAAGATATAGCCTTTAAAAATAAACACCCAGGACAATAAAACCTTTGACATAGTATTTTTGGCCAGTTTTCTTTGCTCAAAAGACTTGGATGGATACTACATACCACATGCACACATGTGTCTGTCACGCAGAGATATCACATACTAAAAGTACTTAATGCCCAGTGATCTATGGAATTTTTTGATTTCTAAGACTATCACTCAAAACTCCTCTATTAAGAAGCAGTTTTTCCGTAAATAATCTCTTCTTCAAATATTGTGCGCTAAAGGGCTAATAAAAGGTTTATTTATGGAACACTAATTATTTCTTCACTTCGCTTTATGCATCGTATGCTCAGAGAAAGGGAAATACAACAGGAAAATAAATGCAAGCAACCTCCTGAGGAGCTTCTAGAAAGATCCAGAGGCTGAAGTGACACTTTGCTCCTCCTATTGGTCTCTCAAGTGTTGTTTCTATAGCTCTTGACTGTTCTCATTTATGGAGAAGGACTCTAGTTATGATGGAAATAAGACTCCCGTGCCCCAACTAATGGATTTTGTATACAGAAGCCTGTGCTGAGGCAAGAAGAGGTGGACTCTTTTGTATGGCTTAGAGATTAAATCAACCTGATTTGATTTGATTTAAATAGAGCTTTCTCTTCCTTGGGTTTCAATAGGTGAGGTTATTTTCCATGACATGTGAGATATTTTCTCTTTTTTATAAAATTAAAATACCTATGGAGTTTTGCACCTTCATTCTCAGAGTCCCTGATTTAGGCTGAGTTAATGTGAATCTGCCCTTTAGGAGTCTCACATGTGTTTGCCTAGATCCACATATAAACATGTTGTCTTGTGAGTAGGGAGCCAGCAGTGCCATGCAAATTTATTACAGGGCATCTATCTAGTTTGCGTAGGAGAGGTCAGAGTGTGTGAAAGAATAAGACTGATAGAATTTAAATTTTGAGGATAATTCTAATGAGCAAGCAAAAATCCCTGGCCACCTAAGGAACTGCAAGTTTTAACAAATGCCTAGATATTTTATCATTGGTTTTTGAGATAGACACAACTACTTCGGGATTAGAATTATATAGAGCTATGTATTTTTCCTTGAACTTTATGTCTGTTTTTTGTCCTGTTTTTACACATCAAGAGAGAAGAAAAGAAAAATGAAATCATGAAAGATTTAATGGTCATACCCCTGCGAGCCAATTCTTGGTTGCTGTTAAGTTTTTATCTATCTATAAACATCCCTCTCTGAGATTCTGGCAATACTGGCTCCAGAGCATTAAAGCAGTGCTGAAAACAAGTATATATCATTCATTTTTATCTGTAGAGACCCATTGCAACATTTTATAAGTGGTATGTTGTTGGTGGTGGTGTTTTAAGTCAGGGTCTTGCTGCGTAGCCCAGGGAGGACTTGAACTTACTTTCCTGCTTGTGCTTCAGTAAGTTCAAATGTATTACCCATTGATGAAAGATTTATGAAAGTAACCTCAATTCAGGATTAAAATGGAGGCAGAAGTCAAGCTGAGGAAGATTCAGTGGTCATGTTTATCTGTCCCATTGTTAAACTCAGAACGAGACATATGCATGGTAATAAAATATCTAGCCAGGCTACTCTCAAATTTCTTTGTGATATTTCAAAAGTCCAAAAATCTTTGGGATCAAACTATATTTTGTTGATTGGCCCTTTATAAAACATGGATTATAAAAGCAAAATGTAGTTACGTACAATCATGTGCTATGTAACAACATTTTGCTGAGCAACAGGCCACATCAATGATGGTGGATCTGTAGTGGTATGGATTAGAGAGAGATCCACCCAGGGATCCATTTCACTGATGTGTCCCTGTCATCAAGTGACTGTCACAAGGTCGTGTGTGTGTGTGTGTGTGTGTGTGTGTGTGTGTGTGTGTGTGTATGTGTGTGCCATAGGACTACTTGTCTGAGGAAAGTGAATGACAATGGCCATTGATTTAAAAAGCGTGAGGAAAAAAAGAGAGCAGATTAAAGACCTCCATGAGGAACTCTAAAGATGACTGTGAAAGTTTGCAGAGAAAGTTGTATTTCACAAAGGTTTTATATACCCAAATAAAATCTGTCATTTAAAAATCATTTTAAAAGGCCACATTAAAGAGCAGGTAGAGGCAATGTCACATTTATGAGGTGATAATTTGAGAATAATAATGGTAATTTCAAGAAGGGAATGAGAAACATCCTTAGGAAGAACAATAGCAGGGAAGCCGTTTTGTGGCATCAACCCTGTGATATGAATTTGAAAGAGAACAAGGAGGAGTATAGGGAGGCTTTGGAGGGAGGGAAGAGAGGGCAGTGATGTAATTGTATTATAATCTCACACACAAAAAAAGAGAAATGATTAAAAAATACACACAAAAGGAGGTAAAGGAAAAGATTCCAATAAAGAAGTCGGAATTGAATGACTACCAGTGTGAACAGACTTCATTTTGAATGATGGATTTTTAATAAATATAATCAATCCTTTGGGATATTTAATTTTTTTATAATAGGATATTTTTCGAATTCTCAAGAGTTGTGAATAAAGTTGAATTTTCCTTTGTCTTACCATTTGGCCCTATTTTCTGACTTGATATGTGGGAATTAAGAGGTAAGGATGTGTAAAATGACATGTAAGCATGGTCCTCAGTTCTAATCCATAAAGAACTTGTGTTAGCCCTAGGAAAAGGTGTCTATAAGGAATGAATGTTTCCCTTTGGCATGTCTGAAGAACAGCTATGGGAAGAATGATCACTCTGACTTATCCAGTTCTGCACAAAGACTTTTTAAACATAATTTTAGTTTTGAAATTGAAATATGATTATATCATTTTCCATACCCTTCCCTCCCTACAACCCCTCTCATTTTCCTACTTTTCTCTCTTTCAAATTCATACCTTTTTTTCTTAATTGCTCTTAAATATATCATTTATGATCTATCTATCATCTATCTATCTATCTATCTATCTATCTATCTATCTATCTATCTATCTATCTATCTATCTATCTATCTATCTTCTATCATCTTTCCATAATCTATATCTGTCTATCATCTATATCATCTATCTAGTATCTATCAATGATCTATATCTACTATCTATCTATCTATCTATCTATCTATCTATCTATCTATCTATCTATCTATCATCTATGTCTAATTATCATCTATCATCTATATTTATCATCTTTGTCTCTCTGTCTATATCTGTCTATCTAATCCATCTATCTTTATTTGTTATCATCCCTATCTATCTATCTATCTATCTATCCATCCACCTACCTACCTACCTACACCTAAATATGTAAACACAACCTGCTCAGTCTGTATAATTTTACTTGTAGATGTATGATTTCAGGTCTGACCACTTGGTATTAGGTAAATGATTGGGGAGCTCTACCCTGAGGAAGACTATTACTTTGGCTCTCAGCATTCCTTAATTGCCTAGTTATTTGTCTAGGGTGGGGACCCTGTAACACAAATCTTAAAAGGCCTTATAATAAAAAAAACCCAGAGCCAAATATTGGGGTGAAAACTGAAAGATCAGAGAAGCAGAACAACTAGCCACTTGCTTACCTCTATAAAATCCTCAGCCTGAAGAGAGCGAGTTCCTGTTTCCTCACACCTTATATAGCTTTCTGTGTCCTGCCATATTACTTCCTGGGATTAAAGGCATGTGTCACTATTGCCTGGCTCTGTTTCTCTTATGCAGCCTGGTGTGGCCTTGAACTCACAGAGATCCAGATGGATCTCTGCCTCCCGAGTGATAGGATTAAAGGTATGTGCCATCACTTCCTGACCTCTATGTCTAATTTAGTGGCTGGCTCTGTCCTCTGATCCCCAGATAAGCTTTATTGGGGTACACAATATATCACCACAATTTTCCTCTTCCACAATGCCATGTCTATTGCTATCTTTCTTATGTCATTTCTAGGAGACACAATCTCATAGCAGACTGGGTTCCTCTGACTCTTATATCCTTTCCATTCATACTTGTTAAATGTTCCCTGAACCTGTACAGGAAATGTGTTGAGGGTGTATCAGTTGGGACTGGGCACCACACATTCACTTGCGTTCTGCAATTTTGGTTGGTTGTGATTTTTTTGTAATGGTGTGTCCATCTGTTGCAGAGAGAAATCTCTTTGATGAGGGTTTTCCACTAAGATATTATGTGCCACTGCTGTACCATTAAGGTTATCATGCCATGCTGGTCATTATTGTGGTTCATAGGTGTCATAGTTCATTAAGATTATTGATTGGCTCCTTCCATTAGAAGCATGCAGGATGCTTCTTGTTCTATGAAAGCCTGTCTTCAGAGAGGAGGCTTTCAAGTCAGATACAGTGGGGGGTCCTTTGGGTCCTGTGTCAGAAACATATAGTACCTTCAAGATTAGGTACTCCCATCCATCTCCAAGAGACAACCAAGGGCAAAGGCAATAGCCTATAACGTTTGGGGAGTCTCCTGGACTCCCCTGACCAACAACTATGAAGTGGGTTTCCTATGCCTGGTATTACAGTATTTTGTAGCTAGTCTGTGAGCATTGTCAGCCCATATGGGAAATTTTCATTTAAAGAATATATGTATACACATAGACTTGTATACATTTTGTGTGATTTTAGGTAAATAAGTAATAGATTCCTTTTAGATTTTTTTCAAACATCTTTCCCGAGTTGTTTTACTGTCTTCATTGTCTCTCTCCTTTGGTATTGACCTCTAACCCCTGTCCCTACAATTAAAGCCCCTCCTTCTCCCATATCCCCTTTCAAATCACTTGTGTCCTCTGCCCCCCTCTGGCACCCCTCTTGACCCTGTGGGCCCCTCTTTACTTTCCTGGTTTCTGCAGTT